TATATATCAAGAGATATAAGTAGGGCATATATATATATATATGCCCTACTTATTTCTCTATCATGCTATATGTCCTAGCAATCTTTAATCTGTGCCAGCTAGTTCAATAGTTCAATAGTTCTGCAGAATGGTGTCAGTGATAATTTGTTTAGGCCCCGCTGATAGACGAGTGCTGTAAACCAGCAGTTAGTTGTTTGCAATGTTTTTTTTGTAGGACTGGAATTGTCATTTCGTTTTGGCGTGCTTTTTAATGAAGAGGTTATTTCAACTAAAATGGTACTCTTTTGCATCCTGAGCACTTTGCTCTTTGCTGTCTCGACATCTCGGTGGCATACTTGGTTAACCACTACCATTATGTTTGGAATACCATGGTCTTATGTATGTCGGGCGTATTAGTAATGGTCACGTCGTTGTACGCGTATATATGTACGTGTTGACGTGCGATTCTCTGTCATTTGCTGTGCCTGCAGCGGTCTCGCAGCGGGCATCTACACGACAAACTCGCCCGACGCTTGTCAGTACGTTGCGAACGACTGCAAGGCAAACGTCATCGTCGTCGAGAACGACCAACAACTGCAGAAGATACTCTCGGTCAGAGATCAGCTGCCACATCTGAAGGCAATCGTGCAGTACATAGGCGACGTGAAAGTCAAAGATCCAAATATCTACAACGTAAGTATGCATTCATGCTCGCGAGTTGCTTATTACATGCGATTATATATATATATATATATATATATATATATATATATATATATATATATATACACACAATAATATATACAATAGATATTGATAGATAAAGTGAATTTAAACATTAACAGTGTGAAAAGTGAAGATTCAAATGTCAAATCTTAAGCATATTATTGCAGCAATATTAATATATCTATGGCAGCTATTACAATATTAATATACCCATGCCAGCAAACATAAAGCTAGCTCACCAGCTGCCCAAGTTTTAACAAACGATGAGTGCATGTGTGGACAACATCAACAGCGAACAACTCATCTCGCTCTCCTGTTGTCTGTTACAGTGGAAGCAGTTTATGGAGCTAGCACACGATGTTCCTGAGGCGGTGTTGGACGAGAGAATACGCATGCAGGCTCCCAACAAGTGCTGCCTGCTCATATACACTGTGAGCACACACACACACACACACGCACGCGCGTGCTGCGCGCGCACACACGCTGTGCTAATGGGTTTTCAGCCAGTGATTCTCAATTGGAAATTGTTTAGAATGTGTAATTTTTGATTCCGTTGAAATAATTTGGAAATTTTCAATTATCGTTTCTACCGTTTAAACTGATCTATTTTGCTTCCATGAATAGGTTGATTTATGGATGGTATAACACGGTCAGTTCTAAACACGTTATGGTGACTGTTAGAAATTAGAATGTGATATTTGATGTCACGTGGCTGTTAACAGTTTTCTCATTGCTATGTTACAGTCAGGGACAACTGGTACACCAAAGGGTGTGATGCTGTCACACGACAACGTAAGTACCTGCTCTGAGACTATATAGAAATGCTGATATTTGACAGAATTTATCTCACGTATATAATTTATCTGATATAATTTATAAGATAACCGATGATGACCACACCACAGGCACTTGAAGCGTTTTAATAAAATATAATGCTAAATAAATACGAAATCTATTTACTACCAAATTCTTAATGTTTCTACACTCTCTTTCACCTATTATTGCCGACAGTTTCCTGTAAATTCCGTCCAAATCCTCTATGTACACATGCTTGCGGCGGCCATTGCTCACGAGGCTGCACTGTGCACACTGACACTTATGCTGAGAGGGTCTATGCCCTCCAGGGTACTGCCGGAACGTACCCTGGTACTATCTAATATGCCGGACCGTACCTCGCCTACTCCACTAACGAGTCTAGGGAGTCGCCTACGCCTACTCCCTAACCCTAACCCTAACCCTAATCCTAACCCTAACCATATCAAATAGTGACCAGGGTACGTTCCGGTATACCAGACCGTACCCAGGGTATGTTCCAGCAGTACCCTGGAGGACATAGACCCTATGAGCGACACATATATATAGTGTCAGTGTGCACAGTGCAGCCGCGTGAGCAATGGCCGCCGCAAGCGTGTGTACATAGAGGATTTGCACGGAATTTACAGGAAACTGTCGGCAATAATAGGTGAAAGAGAGTATAGAAACATTAAGAATTTGGTAGTAAATAGATTTCGTATTTATTTAGCATTATATTTTATTGAAACGCTTCAAGTGCCTGTGGACCACACCGTCACATAATCCAGCTACATTTATTCAATCATTTGTAATCAAACTATTATTAGCATGTTGTATTGTCCCGTGCTGCCACCTCGTGATAGCTCTAATCCAATTGGCTTGGCCGTCACTAATCGAAATACAACTAGAATATAATATAATTTAAATTAAATACAAGCGTGAGCAGCATTGAAAAGCTGTCTAAAAACGTGTTGTTTACAGATAATGTGGACAGCGTCGATGTGTACGAGGACATTCTTTGGGGAGGATTATCGGTTATGCAGTCACAGCGTCGTCAGCTACCTACCGTTGTCTCACGTCGCCGCGCAGGTACGTCACTGCATGCCCATCTAGGGTCGTAGGCTCATCAAATTTCTGGGGTGAGGTGCAAAATTTAGTGACTTGCCTGAGTACTGACGAGGGAGGGTCGCAGCTGCCAGGCAATGTGCACAGGTGAGGTAGGGGTGGGAGCGACCGAGTTCCACAGATGAGTATACATAAGGATTAATGTGATGGTAAATGGTCTGAATTGGATTCCTTTGTAACAATAATCTGTGCTGTTTTCAGATGATTGACATGATGTTTCCCATCTTTGTTGCTGGAACAACCTTCTTTGCAAGACCTGATGCACTCAAGGTAATTAATATTGTTACCAAAAGTTATAATATACATAAATCTCAAGGTTACAGGGCATGATGTCATGCATGCAGCAGCTGGTGACCAATCGCGTACTGTACGCTTTCTTGCTCTCCGACGTTGCAGGAAAACACCAATCTCTCTCAGTCTCTCTCTCAGTCTCTCTCTCTCTCTCTCTCTCTCTCTCTCTCTCTCTCTCTCTCTCTCTCTCTCTCTCTCTCTCTCTCTCTCTCTCTCTCTCTCTCTCTCTCTCTCTCTCTCTCTCTCTCTCTCTCTCTCTCTCTCTCTCTCTCTCTCTCTCTCTCTCTCTCTCTCTCTCTCTCTCTCTCTCTCTCTCTCTCTCTCTCTCTCTCTCTCTCTCTCTGTCTCTGTCTCTGTCTCTGTCTCTGTCTCTGTCTCTCTCTCTCTTTCTCTACATAATATCTGTTATCTGTCTCTGTACAGGGCACGCTCGTCGACACGTTGAGGGAGGCGCGGCCAACGCTGTTTCTCGGCGTGCCTCGCGTCTTCGAGAAAATGCAGGAGAAGATGATGGCTGTCGGGCGCACAATGTCCGACCTGCAACGCCGTGTCGCCGGCTGGGCGAAGGACATCGGCCTACGCGGAAATATGGCGCTGATGAAGGGGTAAGACAGTTGTGCGCGACTGTAAGGCGTGCGTACGTATGATGTTGATTGCTCGTAATCTTTTGGCTGAATGTCATAAAACAATAAACTACTTGGGGATAGTGCAATGAATATGTACCCCATAGTTCAGTTATTGTAATATGCTAGTTTCATAAAAAGTTCTTGAAATGGAGATCATGTTAATCTTGTCCGAAAGTCAATAAAATTTGTTTCATGGAGGAGTTTATTCACTAATCGTTGCTCGGACTGTACAAGGTGCAAATAATGTATTCTGTTAAAATCTCACAGTAACGGAAATGAGATGGTTTAAGTCTTAGGAAAGCCACTAGAAAACTATAAGAAAAAATGTGTTACGAACCGTGACTGGACGTTTCACACGTTTCAGCGAATCTGTGCCGTGGGGCTGGACTCTCGCAAACGCACTCATCTTCAAGAAGATAGCAAGGAACCTCGGGCTCGACCGCTGTGAGGCACTGTTGGTTGGCGCTGCGCCCATCCCGCGTGAGACACTCGAATACTTCATGAGCATCAATCTACCGCTGATGGAGCTCTACGGAATGAGCGAGTGTTCGGGTACGGCATTAGGAGGGAGGCAGGAGTGGTCTCGTGTTACGTGGCCATCGCTGTTGTGCCCCCTTTATCCCGATATGCGTCAGTCGATTCCTGCTGTAAAAATGCATTTAGAACGCCAGCGTAAGGCTAACAACCTCGCTTGCGTAAGAGTGGGTGGCTTTGCCCGGATGAAGCCCGTTGTCGAAACTTAATCTGCGCGGTTGCAAAGGCCATATGCTGCACAATGGGAGTTTAAACGACAAGAAGGGCTATGTCATTAGCAGGTGATTATCATGTACGTTTTCTGGCACAGGTCCGGAGACGGTGTCAAAACCAGACTCTTACCTGATTGGCAGTGTTGGCAAGGTTATCGTGGGCGGCAAAATCAAGCTCGCAAACTGTGATGCAGAGAACAATGGCGAGGTGAGAATCACGTCACGGATCTCAACAATCCGTCGATTAATCGCTAATAATTAACTATTATTGTTGATAAAATATGTTTATAATCCTGTAGTAAGTAATAATGCTGTTAGTTTAACTTTAAGATGCATATGATACACACTATCGCAAACATTGTCAATGCGATCATTTTCACATTTTTCAAAAGTTGCTGTTGTGTCTTTGTCACAGATCTGCATGGGAGGCAGGCATGTGTTTATGGGTTACCTTAGCAACCCTGAGAAAACTAAGGAGGCCATCGATGACGAAGGATGGCTGCATAGTGGTGATGTCGGCAAGCTAAACGAAGATGGCTTCCTTTTCATTACTGGCAGGTGATTGCGATTTGTAGAAATTAATTTGAATAAGCTCTAGGCTAGGATTTTATTGCGTAGTGTGAACTGAGACACATCACCTTTAGATGGAAGCTTGTGTCTTGGAGTCAGTGAACGTCGTTTAATGCTCATGCTGATATTTCTTCTGTAGGATTAAGGAGCTCATCATTACAGCAGGGGGAGAGAATGTGGCGCCCGTACCCATAGAAGACAACGTCAAGGAACAGCTGCCTATACTCAGCAATGTGATGCTGATCGGAGACCGAAGAAAGTTCCTGTCTATGCTCATGACGCTGAAGGTGCGGAAACGCTCTACTATAAAAAATCTGTTACTAGACAAAGATAACCATAACAAGAGTCATGTGCGTGCGTACGTACGTGCGTGTGTGTACATCTGTGCGTGTGCGTGCATGCGTGCGTGCGTGTTTGTGTGCACGTGCTTGTGTGCTTGCGTGTTTGTGCGTGCGTTTTGTGGAGGAACTGTTGGTTAATTGTTCACATATTGTGAGTAAGCTGCTTTAGTATGGACATTTTCTACTACCAGGTGAATGTCAATGAGGACACTGGCGAGCCTACTGATGACCTTGCAGCAGTAACACTCGATTGGCTGAAAGCACTTGGCTGTACTGCAACCAAAGTTACTGAATTAGTGAATAGTAAGGACGAAAGGGTGAGACCAAGTTGTTCAAGTTTGAAAATATGTGTGTTTAAATTCAGATTCTCATCTTGCGATATTCTATATATTTAACCAAAATACCTGTGAATCATGCATATGCTCTGCTGTTAAAATCAGGGCCACATGCATGAAGAGTGGATAGCACAAATGATACTATATTGTGGTGGTATATAATATATCAGTCTGGTAAATTAATCTGGTCGTATTTTCTTGCTTGCACATATTGTACGAGCAGTGCATAATTTTACCACAGGGGTGCCGCACGTGACGAGTTTCGTTGATTGCAGGCAGAAGCTCGATCATCGACTGTTATCTATATCTATGTATACTAACCTCTATTATCATCTCTGATTGCAGGTTTACAAGGCAATCCAGGAGGGTGTGAAAAGGGCCAACCTGAAGTCTGTATCAAATGCACAGAAGGTGCAGAAATGGACAGTTCTACCAGCCGATTTCTCCATCCATGGAGGAGAGCTGGGTAAGTATAGGATGCCGCCTGTGGCTTCTTTGGTACATGTAGCAAGGGAATGATATGCTTCACTACATATGTTGTATATATGCCCGAGTATATATCGTTGATATATGGTCAAGTATATACGTTGTATATGTGGTTGAGTATATATGGTGTATATGGTTGAGTATATATGGTGCATATATGGTCGAGTATATATGGTGTATGTATATGGTATATAGTAATATCGTGGAGATTTAGCTCCATATGCATATATCACCTCTTTCCACAACAGTATGTAGATATAGTAAAATAGAGATAGGTAGAGCTAGGGCTGTTAGCAATACAATCTGTCTCTTGCTCCTGAAGAAGTTTCTGACACAGGCATACATCTAGTGTTGTATGCTACTGTTCCTCAGCTACAGCATCACTCCCTCGAAGTGCTTATTTCTACGGGCGCCGTGTCCGCTACCGAAGTCCCCGACCAATCACAGAATGCCTTGGTTCAAGGTAGTAAGACAAATGGTGGCACTTGAAGTCATTCATGATAATTTACAGACTTCAAATCAGCATTAGACTCATAATAAAAGGGTTAGTGTTAGGGTCCGATCAGTGATTATTGAGTAGCGGAAACGGTGGCTGTGGAAATAACCCATACTTCTCACCTTACTCCCTCGACCTAACCTTAATTTCAATCTAACCAAACCTTACCCCTAACCTATCCAAATTCCAATCCTAATCTAATTCTACGCCCATCTTTAAAAACTTTAAAACCCCTAGTTTTTAAAGATAGGCGTAGAATTAGATTAGGGTTAATTGAACTGATGCTGGTTTACCTTGTGATCTGGTGACCTGCATGTGGCAACGACAGGCGATAAAATCACGTATCTTGCAGTTGACTGACGATCTAATCTCGTGTTGATGCCATTTCTCCGCAGGCCCGACTCTGAAGCTGAAGCGGTCGTTTGTTGACCAGAAATACACGGACGTGATCGAGGCCTTATACAGCGAGTGATCGTCTGCTAGTTTGTTGCTTCGTCTCGGACGGGTCTTAGCATCGATACTACAGTGTTAATACCTGCCTACATGCGCATCAGGGGAGCAGCTCTTTAAGGACTCCGCTGACTTGACCTTGCCAAACAACTCGGCGGGTTTTTTGGGGGTAGTGATGTTCTGCTGTTATTGTCAGTGCTGCGTCGTCACGCGTCCATGGTATTCCTTTCCTTGGCCACACTGTTGTTATTTCGTCATTTTGTGGGCGTTTTTTTGTTACACATCATTCTAGTATATCTTTCCTATAGGATCGACATAATATTTTGTAGAAATATGTATTTGTATATAGGTGGTATTTTTTGAAGAAATGGGAATGTGCATTTCGTAGTGCAATATGTGTGTGTGGAAAGTAGGGGGGTTCTTCTGTAAAATCCTATCGGGTGTGTTTTGGGTACAACTTTTAGCTGGGGAGTTTAGGCATCAAATGACTTTGCGTTAGTGCACAGCTTTAAGCTAATTTGATTCAAAATGTAAAATCGCTGTTCTGCAATTCTGGCCATTGTTAGTAGGCACGCTAACGCATGCATACAGTGTATTACAGGTATGCGCGCACATGCACACATACATGCACATGTGCGCATAGACTCCAGGTACACGCACGCACGCACGCACGCACGCACACACGCACGCACGCGCACACAAACACATGCTATAGACATTGTGATAGCTCTTTTCATTACAGCTGATCCGGTGTGAGAGAGACCAATTACGAGATACGACCAAAAATGCACAGTGTTGGGGCACTGGTTGCTTTATGCTTTGCTTTGCGTGAAAGGGTTTCTTTATACGTGAAGCCTATTTCATAAAATGTAGATAGATTAAGTTCCATGCATGTTCATTAATTATCTAAATTAAGCAAATCTTGCAGGGATAGAGAGAGGAGACCGAACTTCAGATATATGGCTAACTTGTCTTTTCATATTGCATATCGTTGTGGGCGTAATGCAGTTTGTCCGTGTGTATTATTAACAAATTAAAAATGGTTGTTTATTTTTGTAATGCGTTTAGAAATAACCTTCGTTGTGCCAATATCTTTCTTCGTACATTTCGAATTATCTACCTCTATTTTGCTAGATTCCCAAATTGCGGTGTTTGATAATAGTTAATAGGTGTCACAATTTGTTAATGGTACCTGTTTTTACTTCACTGAATAGATTTTCCATTACTTGTAAAATGATGTTCTGGTTTGTATTCAAGTAGTTACTATAAATTCTGCTTTCATCTTTATTTTACCCTGCTTTCCTTACTTTTTAGCTCAGCTGACGAAGTCAGATGCAGCTTGTAGAATCGCATGAATGTCCGTCCGTCCGACCGTGCGTCAACAGTTGCGGCACAAATCTTAACCGCGCGTACGATCTTGATATTGGGGACGTCAGGGGGGATCGCGAAAAGGACTCGGGATGTCGAATTTGGGGGGTCAAGGGTCAAAGGTCAAGATGTGTTAATGGAGGTCCGGCGAGATATCTCCCCTTACCACTTAAGGTATAAGGAGGAAATACTGGAATTGGCGGCAACAAATCTCAGACGGCGCTCTGACCTACGCTCTTAATATTCGTATGTATCAGTGTGATGGGGAGGAAATCCAATCCACAGCGCGCAAAATTGGAGGTTCACAGGTCAAGGACAGTGGGCGAAAAGTCAGATAATCTAGACATGTTTCTGGAGGACATGTGTTCTAACGGACCGAGTGCAAATACTTTTTTGTTTTCAGTGCTTGACCTAACCTTTTATCACTTTATTGCACAAGGACGTGAAATCTACTTTCCTGCTGTGACGTGCGAAGAGTAAGTGTCTGATAACCTTTTTGACCCTCAAGATGGAGAGATTTAGAACATGGATTTGTTGATCTGTTAACGAGGACTGAACTGCTTTTTGCTATTAGAGCCTCTCCAGCCACCCCTCTTCTCAACAAAAAGATAAAAAAAAAAACACGCCTCCCCCTTCCCCCCAACCTACTACTCTCGCGCGCTCGATCGCATCCGATAACTGTTAAGTTATAGGACAGTCAGTTAAAGTTACACATGCTAATTCTTTATTACTGGTACTACCGGTATTTAGCCAAAGCCTATCAACGCGGCGTGCATTGGCTGGGAGGGCATGCACGTGATTCGGTTATAGCCAGTGAGTTTTCAGAAGAATACCCGGCTACACTACATGTCACGTTTTGATTGCGCTTGTCACTCTGCGGGCACTTGTTTATTTTTACTTCTCATACATTCTATTTCTAACACAAAGGTTGTTAGCTCTGGTCTTTTCATGATTACTTCGCTGGCCTCTGGGGGTATTCGTGTACATGACTCTTTATGAGTCCAAAACCTTAATTTTTCTGCTTAGTTCCTTATGTAAGACTCCTCAATAATTAATATATTGGTAACACTTCTGAGTCAAGTACGTTTTTTCTGGACATTGCTAATTATTGCAATTTTTCGGGTTATGGGCGCCAAAGCTGAAAAATGACAATATTGCAATCTTTT